CAAGGAAGTTCTGCACGTAAATGCGTGAACCATCTATCAGAAGCACACCACAAGAAGCCAGATCTCTCGCGTGGGAGAAAAAGTGGGGGGAGAAGCCAGAAATCTTCACTCTTGAAGTCCTCGGTAAAAAGGTCACCAGATTTCACTATGAACCTAAAACCTAAAAGTTTTAATAACTACATTCAGTTGTACACATGAATATACAATGACGTATGAGCAAAGACGCCTCGACCTGTCCTGGCATTGCAATTCCCTAAGACACAAACCGTCCTGAACAAGACTTGAAGTTCTCATGGCGAAGAAGATGCTGATCTTGGTCTTTTGGATTCTGGCAACCACAGACACCGAGACGTTGCGGAGGGACACAGTGCCTCCATCTTCAATATTCCAACCCCATTAATTTCATCCAAAACATGGCGATATAACCCATAAGACCAACATGAACAGCCTTAAATGCTTTGTACACAAAATATACTTACTTGTTGACTAACCATAAATAATTGGGGGGGGGGGGGGGGGGGGGGTCAATTAAAGCTGTGCAAAAAGAAGGAAGAATAAATTTTGCAAAATCTAACGTAAATCTTTCATCTCACCAGTTTCCAAGACAAATGTACTTTTTCAAGAACTTCCTTGTGTAAAAGTGCCCATCAGTCAAACAACTTCGTTTGTTCATGACATCCACATTATTATATTTAAATTTCTAGACATCAAACATACAAATATATTTTCGAAACTACATGCAACACAACTGTGCCACAAACACAAATACACAAGGATCACAACGGATTCACGATGTATCAGTAATCTTTTTCTTCTTCTTAAAATCCATTACAGTCCACGAAATTTAAATTAATTTTCTCGTTTTTAACTTTCCTTCGCCAAAAATAAACTTTAAACATAAAAAAAATACAGCAACTGAGCACGCCTTCAACGAATTCTTACGCCATACCAACAGTTACATCATCAGCAAAGGATCTTTTCAACTATCCAACCAACAACGATGTCAAATGAGTGCCACGTTATATCACGAAAGTTGACCAATTATCCACTTAAATATATACAAAAAAAGATACAAGAACGTGTTTAGAAAACACAAATTCCCTTACTCTGTCAAACTCTTAGTACTGGCTTACTAACGAAACATTAAACACAGAAATGGTTATTTTCAAATATTCTTTAACAATAAAACATGAACATGGAAAAGCGAAACTTGTTGAGAGAATATTTTAAATGGGTGTTCTTACACAGATATCTTTTAAAATTATCGTTCTGCTCAAAAATAGCTTTCCTCTCCTGTTTTACGTGAATCAGCCACCACACTACACTGAAAACTGAACAGATCACTCGTTGTTACCAGGTAAACGGAAGCTCGTAACTCCCCGCCCAAAATTTCTCAGACTAAATTTCAGTCGGAAAATAAATACAACATACTTTTCTGCTCTCATTCCACATTTAAATTCCCCAGTAATGCGTCTGAAAATTTAAAAAATGTACACTGAAAAATGTGCCGATGGCGAACCAGTGCATGAATGCTCCTGGACAACTTTTTCAACGTAACAACCACACATCTGACAAGACAACAGTACCAGTTTTGAAAAATGCTCCCTGACTGTGGAAATTAGAAACTTATGCAATAAACAAACGCAAAATTTAGTATCTAAGGTCCATGAAACTTGTGATATATTTACAAACAGATTTCACCTATTTACGAAAATAAGGGTAGACTTTTACCTTCCTTTACCACAAAAAAAGGATTCCAGCTTAGTTTCACTTTCTTACATTCTGAAAAAAACTTAGTTTTAATGAGAGGATGTACAAGAAATCACATTCCCTTTCTGGTCACACGACCATTCTAACATAATAATGCAATTGCATCCAGATTTGCTATCACGCGACTGTATTTATGAAACATAACTTGGTTTAACAAAATCTCATAAATGTATTATTTTTCTCTCCTACATCCTCACAGAAAAACTACAAACTTCCATGTGAATTCAGCTGTAAATATTGTTAAGACTCCCAGCAACGATTTAAATAATAACTTCTCTGCTTAAAGAATTACAAGAAAGCGTCACGTACAAATTACGTTGGTCTTACGAGATCTGACAATTAACGGAACTCATGTTTCTGCAAAGCAACCAACTGATTCAGCAGTTTTGGATCAAACAATGATATTCATATACGAGACCTGAGGTTCTGGGTTCTACTGTCCTGTGGGGGGGGGGGGGGCGGGC